TTTTTTTCTGGGCTGGGCCTTTGGGCGTCCCACCTTCACTTTCCAGTTTGAGAGCCTGAAAGGCATCCTGGCAGAGGCGTGTGAGACCCAAACGATGCGCCCGATAGTTATCGGTGCTGAGAAAAACAGGAACGGCATCTTCCAACGCATAGCCATGTGTGAGAAATGTCTTGACCATGTCTTCAAAAATTGGCGCCAAAACTTCCTGGATCTTTGTTAGGGACTCACGAGAGAGAGGCACGAATGGAAGTAGCAAACTGCCATCAAGGCCACAGACTCCCAGAACTGCAGTAAAAGGTTCGTGGCCGTCAGGCACTTGAATGATCTTTGCAAGATCAAAATTCCCATCAATCCGGATGCCTTTGGAATTGTGCAGGTACTGCTTCTCCTGCATTGCTCTACAGATGCGCTCCATATGCGGAGCCAAGCCTTTCAACAAGAGCCCTCGGAGTACACCATCATGGGGCACAGAGCAAAGCTGCCACGCCAAATTGTATGGTTCATGGCCTTCTTGTTTCATCCGCACGGCTTCAGCAAGGGCATGCGCCGCGTAGGTTGAAACAATGTGTCTACGCAGCGACCTAGTGTTGAAACCCTCGTACAATTCCTGCGCAATATGGAAAAAGAATTGTTTGGAGAAGTACACGGGGGCCTCCCTGGGCAAGTTGCACACCAAAGCTTGTGGAAACACTGCCTTGATATCTTCTGCTGTGGGAGCAAAATAAGTCTGCTTAGCAGCTGGTGGCAGTTTTGGAACCTCTTGGATGGGTATGTAGTCCATGAGAGGTTGTCCATTGCGGCAGGTTGAACATCTGTAGGCCTGAGCAACGAATGGACGTGGGAGTGGCAAATCCAGAAGGAACCGCACTTCTTCCCTCCTTTTTTCGGGCAAGACTTTGTGTGCGAAACCATACTTGGCCGCCCACTTCACATGCTCCTCTGCGCTTGATGGCTGGATCTCCACATATTCCTGAATCCTTGGCTCTTGAAGCTCTTCGGCTGCTGTTTCACCATCTGCGTGAAGAGGCAAGTCTGCAGAAGCCAATTGGGCAGGCAGCGCCTCCAACACAGCAGACCCATTCTTCAAGGTCAGCAAGAAATCGAGACGAACACCCTGCAAGTCATCTGCCCGCACAGTGTGGACAGGTCCGAGCACACGGCAATTGACCTGGCTTCTATGCGGCCTCAACTCAGCAATATCTGCCCGGAGGACCCTATGACACATAAAAGTGTCCAGGATGTGCACCTGCACCCCACACCAAGTTGCTTGTAGACCTCTTCGCGGCCTGCACTTGTCTCCGTCCGTGTCGAACACTGTGTCTGTGTCTAAGTGAAACAAACCCATGTCAGACAAAGCAGCTCGTAAGTCCTTGGTCTGCCCGATTCGCAACCTCTTAGCCAGTGCGGCCTGTGCGTCTGTCATCTCCGAGAACCTGCAGTCTCTGGGCGGGGCTTCCTGATGGGACAAAGACTCCATTTCCCTCTTCCGTTTCCTGGTCATCCGGGCAGGTCTGGGCTGAACAGGAGGAGGTTGCGAGTCCGTGGGCGGCGCCTCCTTGGCGCGTCGAGTCTTCCTCGGTAGCCGCTTTGTCCATTTTGAAGTAAACATAACTCTGTTTGATGTTCTATAGGGGCTGCGGAAAAAGGAATAGCCTGGCACAAACAGGCGCTGCTTTTGCCCTTTCAAACCCATTGATGCTCAGGTAGATTGAAAACGTTGCCGCGCCTTTGCTGCGATTGATGCCCATGGCCTCCAGTCAGCCTTGCAAAAAGAGGAGTGCGTACGGTGCATCACACAGAGATACCAACATATCCCCAGAAGCAGCGGAGCCGGATCCTTTTGTCCCGAGCGTTTACCGTATTCAACGCTACGTGGTGATCTGCGCGACTATATAATTGGCACAGGCTTGGGAAGCAAGACTGTCTGGATTCCCCCGCACAGGATTCCTGGTGGCGCACGGGTGGCGCTCAAGCAAAGAAGTCTCGGTTCAAACGCAATGTTTGACAGGATGCTCTTGCGCATTCTGAGTCTTGCACTTCCTGCCATGTCAGGCGCTTAAACTGGTCCCGGTGGTTGCCCTTCTTGTTGCTTTGCCGGGCCATCTTCTCAAGCAACCCTAGGCTGGCTAGCTCCGTGGCCTGCTCGTTGACCTTTGCTGCGAAACCCTGAATTCTCTTGAAGGGCCCCTTGCTGCGCAATTTGTTGCTGATCTGTGCTGCAGGAACGAATTCCTCGCTGCCGCGGCAATGCTGCAAGATGGCCTTCTGCAACAGAATGTCGGAGGCGCTGGGCGCAGATGAGCTGTCCACTGTTGGATGGTCGGCCTTCTGGAATTCCTCTGCCAGCAAATTGCGATGGCGATCTTGAAAGTCTGCGCCGGCCGTAGCTTGCATTGCTCCTTGCACAAAACGGTAGTAGCCGGCATGCAACTCCAGCGATCTCAACCAACAGCGGACTCCACACATAAGTTCGTGCGGGGAAATGCTCACCCGTTCAGGCTTGCCCAAGTCGTGCTTGTTGAGCTTCTCGAGGGTCTGGACCATGCGCATGGTTGGCAAGGAAGACCGGAGGATGTCATTCTTGGCGAAAAGAATCTTCATCAAGAACCATTTGCAAATTGGTTGCTTGGCTGCCTTTCGAGCTTCCACCCAGAGCTTGATTGCATGCAGGATTGCCCGAAGCAGACCAAGAGCAACGCCATCACAATGCACGAAGGATGGACGGTGATATAGGCCTTGGAACATAAAGTCGTGAGTAGCCTGCCACAATCCAAAGGAAAGAGTGCTATTGACATCTTCGTCTTGTGGGCTGCTATCAGGCATGATGGAAAAAGAGATGCGCTTGAAGAATGCTTGAGGTGTCATTTTCATGCACCACTCCACAGCCTCATACTGACCCAGCATTTTGAGCTGGAAACGGTATTGCCTCAAGTGGATGGTGCCCACGCCTGTCAAGACATCATCCCTTTCTCCTTGGGTCCATGTGCACAACTTTGACCTGCTGAGCATGTGGCTAGCTGATTGCTGCGGATCTGCCCAAGGCGTTGGTAGCGCTGTGATGATTTCATCGGTGCTCGCTGACACCCTTTTGTGGTTGAGGAGACATGACCGGACACCTCTGAATGTTGCCTCGACCAAATAAACTGACCGCTTCTTGATGTAGTCGGGGGCCCAAGCGGAGTGAAGCACCAAATCCTGAAGCTACGGGCAATGGAAATGAAAATCGCTACAGAAGCCGAGAAACCAACAACACCGTAAACAACAAAGCCTTTCCACCTTACATCTACAAGGCACATTGGTGAGGTCACTCATAAAGGATTTGCGGGCAGAAGCGGATCCGGCAGCCATGACCGGCTTGTCAGTGCCAATGGTGTGGCACGAGGCTTTCAATTTGATCTCGAGTTTGGGTTGCGGAGGCACGTCAACAACTGGCACCTTCAACTCGAGCTCTGCCATGTGCTCCAAAGCCACTGTCCGCAAGATGCCCTGTTCGCCGGCAGTGAGACGCCGGCCGAAATGCGAGGCAGCAGCGGCAAGGTACTCTGCGAGTGTGCGGAGGGAGAGGGCCTTGATGAAAGGAAGACAAGCGTCTTCAAAGCGGCCTGCGTCACCACCACTGCCATCTTGCGCCGGCTCCTCCTGCGGGTTGCCTTGAGCCTTCTTTGCTTTCTTTTTGTGAGGTCTTTCCTGTGGCACTTCCGGGATATCCTCTTGAGGGTCTGGCTCAAGGATATCCGACTGCACATCCAACCCTGCTGGCGGTGGGTCGGAGCCCAAGCGGCTCGCGTGGTGCTCCAGCCACGTCAGATTGCTGTGGATAAGCAGCAGGAAGGTCTCTGGATGCAGCCCGTGCTTCAGGCACAGGGCTTTGGCAGCCTCGACGTGTGGGAGCGGTGCCATGCCGCAAATGGAGAAGTCGTAGCGCATAGCCAGCTCCCTGTGATTGCGCCTGTCGTTCATCATGGAATCCAGCATGCTCGAAATTGTCCGCTCAATGGTCTCCTCATTGCTGAATCCATCAAAGAGATCCGGTGGGAAAGTTGCCTTGGCGAACTCTTGAGCCGTCTTTGCAGCGACCGCTTTTTCCACCACCGCAGCGGCAGGATCGATGTCAGACTTGGAGGCAGCTGCGGCGGCAGCATCTGGCAGGCTAAAACCAAAGTCTGCATCTTGAACCATATGATCAAGACGTGGGGGTGACAGCTGCGATGCCGAGGTTCTTTGGGTGGGGTATTGAGCCACTTGCGATCCATGGTCTTCGCTTGCAGAGTCCACTTGAGTTGCAGGCAATTCGTTTTGCATACCGGAACGAGGTGTCGGACGCGAAATGGATCGACAGGCCGGGCACGTGACATTCTCCCAATTTCTCTGCTTCTGCAACCTGCGGCCACAGTCCTGGTGCATTGAGTGACCACATTCTAAGTCCAGCAAAATGTCTCCATCATCAATCTCAAGGG